GCAGCTAAGGGCCGTGCCACCGCTTCACGGGTGAACGGGCTGATTAGATGAGACGAAGGCGTTGCGTTTCGTATCAGTGGCTACTCCTCCACGTGGCTGAGCGATTGAGAAACCACACCCACAGCAGTGCCCCAGTGTACCGGCACCCCCCCAGTGCTGGAGTCAACATTCTCTGGGCCCCGTTTTTCTTCACACGCCGCCCTGGATTTGGGCCCGGCAAGAAGCGCGTCGCCACCAAACGCGTTACGGTCAAATGTTGTAAGCGGCAGGTTTATCTAACTTCATATTTGACTTCCTCTTCCAAGACCTCCTGGCCAGTGTGGAGGAGTAGGCCAATTACCCTCACAGGGGCTCTCTGCAGCTCCCTCTCGTGGAGGCCCCATTTGCCGGCAGTGGCGTGAACAACCGCAGGGGCTGTACCTTTACCTTCTATCCACTTTTTATATTCAACATTTAATTAGGTCAGCAAGGCGGTGTTGACCTCTTACCCACACACGTTTCTGACAAGTACAGCAAGTGCACGTGTACACAAGTGTACTCCTGTGCTAGTTGCACGCCACTTCTGCTTTTTGTGTTTAGTTTGTTGTCGTTCCCCCACACCTCAGATTAGCACGGTTGGCTGTGTGTGGTGCTAAAGAAGTTAAACATACACACACGCGCATCCACGCACACAAACACGTACACACCCATCAACACACAGACATACAAAGACAAACACCCCCCGTATAGCCAAACAGGCTGTTGGGGCAAGTGCTGTTAGCGAGCACACGCACATACACACATACATACACACATAAACACATACACACACATTTAAACAAACACATACACATACACATCCACACCCATACACACATACACACACACACAAAGACACATACACACACACACACTGCGATGGCAAAGTAATAAATGGAAGCGAGACCAGTTTTGTCACGACAAGTATATATTCATTTCAAGTGCAAATGTAATAAAAGGACTCAGACACTTCTTGCTGACTCCGTGTCCTTTATTTGGGGTTCGCGTTCTCCTTCCCACACGGCACTCCTCCTGAGACTCTCTCCCTGGCAGCCCCACATCTGCCTTCGCTCCCGTAGCCTTCCACGCTCCTGCAGCTCCGCTGCAGGCTCTTGGTACAGCCCTCTGGCTGCTCCCCCAGCAGCTCCATCTCTGCTCCCTGTTCCTCCGTGCGTGGCGATCTCGCCACCTCCCAATGTCAGCCCTTCGTGGCCTCTATGGCTATCTCGCCATTTCCTACCTCAGCCCTTCGTGGCCTCTGTGGCTATCTCGCCATTTCCTACCTCAGCCCTTCGTGGCCTCTGTGGCTATCTCGCCACTTCCTACCTCAATCCTCCACTCTCTCTTCCACCCCGCTGGCTGGCGCCGTCATGAGCCCCTCAGCCACCAGGCTGAGGCACGGCGACCACCCAACGTGTTCACCACCCTTCACTCCCCCGACTGACCCAGATAGCTTCCTGTCTCCCCGCTATAACTTCTCCCCCACGTCACCCTGACTCCTCCCTCTCGGATCGTCATATCCGCCCCGCCCATTTACGCCCGCATTACACTACCCTCCCCCGTAGAGAAAATCCCAGCCGTCCTCGGCTGAAACAGAACAAAATAATGCGGGCGAAGGCATCACAATCAGGAGTCCCCCAGACACAACGGAGATTATAACAACAACAACACAAGCAACGAAAGGGGAGGTATCAGGAACTGGAACAGAACACCGGCCTGTCCTCCGCGCAACATCAATAAGAATAAAAATGGCACAATGAACAAAAACGGCAACTGACACGCAAGAACGGCCAACGCGCACAATCCAGAAATGTGATGTTTTAGTGCGTGTCCATGTTGCAGTTCCATCCGCTCGGCTCAAGTCCAACGTCAAAGAGCAAGTGGTAGAGCAGAACGACGAACGGCGCTCAATTGCTCCTTCAAGTCCTCATCCAGCTAGCACACCAGGTAACACCCAGTGCGACGGGAGCTGAAGAATCTGTGACGAGAAGGAGAATCCAATCCCCTGAGGCACAGCACAACAACGCACATCCGCATGTCGTACACGACAGCCACCCGGCCTCAGGGTAGTGGAGATGATGTAAATCCAGCCCGCTTAAAAAAAAAAAACTCCCCATAAATACCCAAAATAACGCAATGGATGCCCCAGTATTTACATTTTAACAACAATATTATTTACACGTGACAACAACAACAACAAAATTTTCTGCTCTTACCCACCAGCAGTCCTCCCTTGAGGACCAGCACAGACATCGCACGTACACAGCATGTACCCACGGTCACTCTCAGCAACCCAACAAAACGCCTAATCGCACACCCTCGCGTGGAGAGAGCCACGCTCCCCAGCGGTAATGTTTAACTCGCCCTAACCCCCACCGTGGTCGTCAACCCACAGCAACATCCACTGACCATACTCTCAGCTAGTGCAATTTCGGGGACGAGCAGCAACTCGGCCATGCTCCTCCCTTACTATCCCATCGGAGATGGACACACACCAGCCTCGTATAGTCCGATGCTTTATAGCCCAGGGAAGGTTCATCCCCCGGCAATGCCAGACCCCATGGACTCCCCCCACGGGGCAATGTTCTCTTATAGAGACAATAACACCCTAACCCAGATCCCGTGAGCCCCCGGCACACCAGGTTCAGTCTGCCACCGCACAACTGAACCATGACTCCCCGAGCCATATGAGCACATGGCCCATTAGTTTAAGACATACCACGGATGTTTCGCCTCCGGGCTGTCAGGTCAGCCATCAGCCATAGGCCGATGTGACCACAACTCGTGCATCACCCAATCAACAATGGCAGGCATAACAGATGGAATATTTGCCCCACCGCGGTTTTTCCCGCGCGCTCAAAATGGCGTCCCCCTTCGCCCAGCGCGTTCGCGCAATCTCTCGCGCGCACTCAAAATGGCGGCCCTTTCCGCAAAGCGCATCGTCACCATACCCCGCGTGCGCGCAAAATGGCGGACCAACGTGCGAACACGTGGCCAGTTTTCTCCATTCGTGCACCCCAGCTTCCCCTAGCTGGGGGTCACAAGACGCCATCCCCCGTCACGTTATAACAACCCCACCAACGATAGACGCACAGCCCCAGCTTGCTGCGCGCAGCAGTCATATCGGGGAATTTTAACCAATATTTTACCAACCACATTGGTTACACAACCCAACTCGCCAAGCAACTCGTGGCTGCATGCGATCAACCAAATACGCGACGCCACTTGGCGCCAATTTACGGTCCCATTAGCATTAACCTTTGAGACACCCACAACGGCGTCATCACGCACCCTCAAAGCGCGCTCTCTCTCTCAAAAAGCGCAATTACCCATAATATACACGAAATCTCGTGTGCACAACACCCATACAACCAAATTTTAGGGTCCCCCTCTATAATATACACGCAATCTCGTGTGCACAACAACCATACAACCAAATATTTGGGTCCCCCTCGAATTTGTTACCAATTTCCAACAGGTACGCACAATATAATAACAATCCCAATTCCAATAATCAACCACTGCATCGCACCCCATAACCATACAGAACGGTATAACAGCACATGCAATCAGCATATCGCGATCACACGCGCACATTTAAGCACAATAGCAAGCAGATCTGCAGGCAACCAACACACCATTAATCCTGTCGTAACTTTGCAGCAACAACACAATTATTCTCTCTCTTGCAACAATCGCATCGCACACAGCACCTCGCAGCACAATACACCAAAAAAAAAATATATATTTTTTTCCAATTAAGCCCATCACACAAGGTAACCCACAAATAATACAGCGCAAGATACCTGACGCTCCCAAGTTAACAATTAACTTCACCATCAAGATAACAACTCCACGCAGCAGCGCACACACACAATTTGACACTCAGCAAATACAGCAGACTCTCCGTCCATTCTCAACACACGCACACACTTATATTGACACCAAGCAACAAGCAGATAGCGCGTTCATCGTTATTACACACATATACACACAGTCCGAACCGCGCTCCGCACAATCGAGTCATAAGAGAAAACCAAAATACCCCCCCCCCCGGCCCTCGAAAGATGAGTGAGGTGTGTGTTAAGGCCGGGTGCGTATCGTTATGACTCGCCCGGGGCTGCAGCAAGAAGAGGACGGCAGGGTGGCAACTTGAGACGCCTCGCAGAACTCGTTCGGCGACTTGACGGCTCCGTTGTCACGCACCCGAACCAGGACGGGAAGCTCCCGCCCCAGCAGCTGCAGCATCGGCGTCTTCTCCTCGCAGCACCCCCTCGAAAAACAGCAGCTCACAGCAGGCTGCTCACCCCGCGGCACCTCCAGATGGCAGCGCAAGGCTGCCTCTCCGCCGCGATGTTGAAGATGGCGGCGTCCTCCCGCCGCGGTGAAGACAAGATGGCGGCTTCCCGCCGTTTCTCCCCTGCCACGCCCAAGATGGCGTCTTCGTGCCACGTGGCAATGGCGCTGGCAGCGCAGGAAAGGCAGAGGCCTGCGGATCACCACCGGGCCTCCCCGACGTCGTCCTCGGCGTGGTGAACTCACACAGTTGCGCCAGCACGATTTTCAAGGTCCCCATCTGCATCGCCATCTGTCTCCATCGTAAGTTGGCGTCCTCCGGCACAGACAGGTCCACCGACGCGGCGACACCTTGCTCACCCGGACCCGTACTCGTTCCAGAACGGATCTCCTCTTTTATCGCAGGCAGGTCCACCGTCTGAGGAAGGTCGTCGTCGTCGGATGATGTAGCAGGAATATTCTTTTTTTTTTCTTCTTTCTCTCAGTTGTTTTGAGATGCCGTTTCACTTCTGACTCCAGTGTAATAAAAGGACTCAGACACTTCTTGCTGACTCCGTGTCCTTTATTTGGGGTTCGCGTTCTCCTTCCCACACGGCACTCCTCCTGAGACTCTCTCCCTGGCAGCCCCACATCTGCCTTCGCTCCCGTAGCCTTCCACGCTCCTGCAGCTCCGCTGCAGGCTCTTGGTACAGCCCTCTGGCTGCTCCCCCAGCAGCTCCATCTCTGCTCCCTGTTCCTCCGTGCGTGGCGATCTCGCCACCTCCCAATGTCAGCCCTTCGTGGCCTCTATGGCTATCTCGCCATTTCCTACCTCAGCCCTTCGTGGCCTCTGTGGCTATCTCGCCATTTCCTACCTCAGCCCTTCGTGGCCTCTGTGGCTATCTCGCCACTTCCTACCTCAATCCTCCACTCTCTCTTCCACCCCGCTGGCTGGCGCCGTCATGAGCCCCTCAGCCACCAGGCTGAGGCACGGCGACCACCCAACGTGTTCACCACCCTTCACTCCCCCGACTGACCCAGATAGCTTCCTGTCTCCCCGCTATAACTTCTCCCCCACGTCACCCTGACTCCTCCCTCTCGGATCGTCATATCCGCCCCGCCCATTTACGCCCGCATTACACAAATACAAAACGAGGTAGACAAAATCTCTGGAAAACATTAATCTCGCTTTCCCTTCCCACACTTTGAGCTGCTTTTGCACAAACGATAAAAACCCCGAGGAGACCGAATTGTCACCGATCTACATTCACGAGTTCAGAAACCGCTATTTCTGGAGGTATCGTGGATGATGGAAATAAAGTGCTTGGCGAAGTTCATCATTTATCCGTACATTTCACGTGGTAACGGCTTGGCGCTACGGTTAGCGTGTCCATTGAAATGTGCACGCCCCGTACATAAAAAAAAAGTAACAGATATGTAGTTTAAAAAATGCCGACGTATTCACAGTTCAATAAATAAATACTTTGCAACAGCGGTTACTTTTTTAATCCCCGAGACAACGCAAAATAAAAGCCCCGCATTTTACATGAACAGAGACAAGAACCGTACGGGAATACCTTGCACGACCTCACTGAGACCGCACTCCGGCCTCGCGTTGCGGAGGATGCAATCTCGGTCTTCATTTGTAATGGGACAGTTCATTTTGCGGTCACCATCACAGTGACGTTCCTGGTGCCAACTCTCTTGACGATTGGCCAGGGAATAAACATCAACCCCAAGACATAATGGGTTGGTGCCGCCTGCATGGATCTTGGCTCCTGTTTCCCAGAATGGCTGGCGTGATTTTAAGCACTTTCGTGCTGGGTGTTTCAAGTCTTCGTGGATTAAAACTTGATTTGAAGCTTTCGTGATTGCATGAATTACTCTTTGGTTATAGTAGGTTTTTACCCTTTAAACTGGTACAAAACTGACACCTTTATACAAGGCATCATGTTTGCAATAACCACAACACAAGCAGTCAAAATGCAAATAAAAAGAAACAACTTTGATAATGATATGCACTGTCCTTGAAGTTGATTGGTCCACACCCGAGACAGCTTTTCTTAGAGCCTAGTCTCCATTGGTGTTGGACCAGAAGACGCCAAAAGGCGTACAACTCAAAAACAGCACACTATCAGAGTATTGAGAGCTCGGGGTAAGCATTTACACTATGAGACCTCGTTTGTCACTGGTAAAGGAGGTCTCATAGTGTAAATACTCTTTGGTTCTTTCGGTAAAGTCACGTAGAAAATAAATAAATTAAATAATAGAATACGACGTTTCGATTGCAACACAAGCAATCGTCATCAGGTAGAAAGCAAACCTAGTGAACTTAAAAATATTTTCTTTCTTCGTGGATTGTGAGGTCAGAGTTGCTTTAAATGTTTTCTATCTCGTCGGACGGCTGTCAGCATTGGACGGGCGTGCATGAGGCCTTGAGCTAGTGATTGCAGCTCTTTATTGTGTTGAGAATGTGGTCGTCGAGTGAGAATGTCGAGTCTAAGGTGATTCCAATGATGTTCAAGTGATTTCAGAGGCTGGTGGTGGAGCCGGCGATGAATACATTTTGGGGGGCGGGCGACGCCATGGTGAGCCTCTGCCTGGTGCCTTCGTAAAATGTCTCTCAAAATTAGTTTGATCTTGAGGGGAAGCAAGAGGTTAGACACGTGATCATGGATTTTAACCAGCGACTTATCTTGGTGGGGCGAGTGCCAGTTGTTACACCGGTGGTGGCTGCTGTGCGACCAGAGTGGCGGTGGCTGTGGTGGGACTGGTGGCTGCTGTTGGACTGGCTGCTGTTGGACTGGCTGCTGTGGGACACGCGGTGGCAGCAGCTGCTGTGGTGCTGACGGCGGCTTCTATGAGACCTGCGGCGGTGGTGGTGGCTGCTGCAGGACTGGTGGCTGCTGCAGGACTGGCGGTGGTTGCTGGTGGAATGGCAGCGGCTGCTGTGAGATCGGGGTGGTGGTGGTGGCTGCTCTGGGACTAGCGGCAACGGCTGTTGCGTGTCTGGCGTTGCCGGTAGCTGCTGCTGCTGCTGCTGTTCCTGCCGTCGCACTTGCAGTGGCTCCGGCAGTTGTTCCCGTTGGGGCGGTCCGACATCTTGGGTTTCTGGAGATAAAGAAGATGATGGCGCTAAAGTCCAAACCGCTCGACATTGGGAGAATGAAACAAAACCGGTCTAAAGTATAAACAAGAAGATCGCTGTACTTCACCATTCCCTTAATATAAAATGATGCGCTGTCAGGGTGTACATTCTCCCTGGGCATTTCCACGCACACAGGACGGCGTTTCCAATCCATCCTTTACCTTGCGCGCCGGTGAGGAGAGCTGCTGTCCGGTAACTGGGTCCGGGGTCTTCCTTCGCCGAGTGGGGCCGCTTAAGGCACGACCAGGACGTCGCCTTGACGTGCTCCAGCGGGCAGTAGCTCTCCGCTGGCGGCGCGTTCAATTCTGGGGACCTGCATGCACACACCAACGCGTCGCAAACCGTTAACACCTGCCTTTAAAGGAGACACTGCTGCTCGCACAAGACAATATCTTTCCAGTGAGCTGGTCTGGGGGACGGATGTAAGTGCAGGTTAAAGTGGAGGGGAGAGAATGTGACTTACCGAATATAGAAGAGCACGTAGGCCTGCTTATTCATCACAGCCTTGGTGTCGACGTGCCGCACGATAGAGTCGTTCATGCAGCACCATTGTCCATCGCTGATCTGCGCACAGTCAAAGCACAGCTACACTTGGTTACAATGTTTACACAACTGCACCCAGATTCCTCCGTTGATGTAATAACAACACGCAATACACACTCTAGACAACAAGTTCGTAAAGAGCATCACCCCATTGTCAGAGCTGCAGAGCGTGCTACGGTTGCTGTGATGGTGCTGAAGTTACGAAACGATCTGCCTGAATATATCACTGCATGGATGACCTTGGACCAATTTCATCAGAATCAGAATCTTTATTTGTACTGAAAGAATTCGATGATCTACGAAGCTCTTAAACAAATGTCCAGTCGGGGCGGGTCAGAAAGTTACAACAACAACAAACAATACAACACCGATTGGAGTGCAAAGTGTAGAAATGCTATGGAAGTCACTAAATACAAATAAAGTATACACTATAAGTAGAAATTGCATGAGTGCATCAAGACGCAAGAACATACACAAGACTTTTAATTATTCTTCCCTATCGGACATTGGTAACATTATGGGCGCATTGCAGATGTGCGTTGTTTTTGTTTGATAGTAACGAATGGAATTACCTTATTGTAGCAATAATAATGACCCCTGTTGGAGTTGGCTCCCTTGTGCACCAGCACCGAGTACAGGGAGTAGATCGCGGGCTCGCCCTGAGACGTTGAGGTGAAGGGTTGCATGTCCAGGTGCTCCGGGTAGGTGATGTTCTACAGGCAGCGCACAGGAGGGGGAGGCAGTGCACAGAGACAAATGTTAGGAGAGGAAACGGCAGGGGTGGTGGGGTGGGCAGCAGAGATAGGCACCATCTCAGTTACGTGTCAAAGTGATGTCGTGATGTCTCGCTAATTTGAGCGTTGAAGATGGTGCTCATCTCCTGTTCATAGCCCTGAGCAAGTGGTGGAAATTCTACAGTCACATGACGGGGGGCGAGTCTATCTGTCGGACCTATTCCAACATGGAGAGGCATTTTCTCCAGCGTTGAACTGACAAAGGGCTGTCATTAAGTAATTTAATTCGAACGATGTGGAGGGGCAGAATCGTTACCCGGTTGATCTTGACGCCGTAGAGGTTGTACCGCTTGATGGAGACGGTGAGGACGTTGGGCAGGCGGTGGAGAGCCATCGTCTTCGTCGCTTCCCCCTTGCAGCAGCACCTGCACGACAACAACAACGCCAGCCATCGCACGCGTTCCCCAACTTTAAACAATAAGTCTACTCTCTTTTTGTTGTTTGTTAATTTTTCTTAATTTCTTAAAATAAAAAAATGTTACTTTTATTATATATTGTAAGTTATTTTCAATGTATTTACATAATATTTTATTAAAATATTTTATTATAATTTGATTTAATCTGCAGACTTTTGAAGCTACAAATGATTCCAGGGTGTCAACACACGATGCCCAACTCACATTCCGCAGGTGTATTCGTCCAGCGTCTCCTTGTTAAAAAACTCTTCAAATGCCTCCACAAGATCTGATGAGTTCTGTTGGTCGACAGAGTGAAACGCAAATGAGGACTCTAAGAAGCATTCCATGAACATCTGCAGAATGTTATTGTGACGGCAACTCCGAAAACCTGCATCTTGTATGAAATCGTACGACCAAAAAAAGAGATCACGTACGCTACCGGCAGTGTGTTTGGATGTTAAGTGGCTGATTCAGGTAGGCGTGTGTGTGGTGGATGTTGGCACAGCAGGGAGCACAGGTGGTGCATCGGCCAGTCATCTCGGTCAACCCATGGCACTTGGGTCTGTCCCGTGACCTGCCAGCGGGCGTTCGACACTTCATATGGCCTTAAAGCGCACTCAGGCTGGCACAAGCACCGTGGTGACAACACCGCCACTTAGTGGAGAATGGGGGTTGTTCACGTATGCGATGTATGTACGTTTAACTTATTTCGCACCGTACGTAGATCTTTAACTGTTAATCGATGACTTCGTCATTGCTTACATTAATATGGAGTGCAATGTCCAGGCACGTGTCAAAGGTGTCGGAGTGGTTGCAGCACTGCATGCACTCCACTGCAAAACACAAGCACACACGCATTAGGAAGGGACGTCACATGTTACTTAGTAAAACTAAATGCACGCTCCCCACTGACATTGGTAATTGGTAGTTTTCACCAACTGGTAAAAGGTTATTCTGTGTTACACGTGCGTGAGAGTGTGCAAACGCTGCGACGCGAGCACGTCTACACTGTGATGGTGCACTTGCTGCTCGCGGTTAACAAGTTTCTAGAGGAGTGCGCACAACTCACCACGTGATCGAAGGTAACCCCCGAAGATCTGGTAAATGAGGGTGGTAGCCTCCGTGTATCTGTCCAGCCTGCCAGTCACAGAGAACGACACCACACGGTGGTTACAGCAGCAGCAGTAGTAACACCTTTACCGGATGCACACGCGTGTGTGAGAGTTACACCATTGCCCGAGCTGTCGATTCACTCTTTCCCTTCAGCACTGCAACGCGTGCTCTGTAGCAACCAAACGTGGTAGTGTCTGCACAGGGCAGCCACCTTCACGGCACAGCCACAGAGCTGGGGGCACGCTGGCAGCCATCACGCGGTGCTGTTGCCCGGCGCTTTTGTTGTGCTCGGCGTGCCACGTGCCGCTCGTCAACACGAGGAATGTCGTCACGGGGCCACCGCACATCGAGACATCGATTTTCCGATATTTATCGGCAACGTGAAATGCGCAAACAAAAGGTGGCCCACGTCAGGGCCAAGGTGAAAGAACCGTGGTGCCAGCAGGGTCGGACCTCTGCATCTCCCAGGTTTTCACACAAAAGTGTGAGTAGCTTTTCACAGACGTTGAAGTACAATCGTGCAGAAAACCAAGAGGAAGCCGTGAGGTACCAAACTGCAGAACGACTGCCGCATGTTGACTGGCGCGCAGTACTCACTCGCTGTGGCCATAGAGGCATGAGGCTTGCATGCCATCTACCACGTATCGCAGAAACTCGTGGGCATCTTCCTGTCTCCCAATGCGCAGGTGTTTGGCGATGCCTGCAGAGAAATGGACATGGGGACAAAGTGACAGGTACAGGATCTGATGACATCCTTAAAGAGCTCCCCAACATATATGGCAAAAGGAGTGGTGCAAAGGACTTGGAACACAGATGGAGAAAGATCGCGGGGGATAACTTCTCCTGCGAGTGCAAGTGTGAACGTAGTATTGGGACTCACGCGTGATGTTCTTAGTTATGACCTTGGGTGTCAGCACTCTCTGCGAGTTGTTGAACGTGCTGACAATGTGATGCTCCATGACACACATCAGGCAAAAGTCGCTCTGTTGGCCTGCGAACGAGAGCACAGGTGGCACAATCCGTCAGCGCACGCCACTTGCACTCAGCCCAGCTGGGGAGTAACAAGAAAGGCTAGAATCCTGGCACCAGCAACAATCGCAATGAATGTTGCGTCTAAGTACCAATTGCATCACATCTGTCCGACCTATTAAAAATTATCGCCACATGTGCTCGTGTTTATCAAAATCATAATATTTATACTGGTGGAATCCGATAAGCTAAGAGGTTTTGTTTAAAAAATGTCGAGTAGGGGCACTGGGTCAGAACATTACAACACCAAACAATACAAAAAACGATCAGAGTACAAAGTATTGGAAAGGTAAACAAATCACATTTTAAAAATCTACAAATAAAACTAAACTTATTTTTTCATCTTCCCAGATAAAGCCCACTGAGCTATTAGCTTCTTCAGAAGCGACCTGGACCACAAATGATGGCTCACGAAGTGGATTATCATGTGGGAAATGTATCGCAGCAAAGTCACTGACATAATAACCTAACCCATGGGTAAACGAGAGTGCCAGGGGGGAGGGTACTTACAGGTGCTGCAGTGCTCTTGCAGCAGCAGGTAGTTGGCGAGCGGCGGCGTGTAGGCGAGGCACTGCAGCGTGGCGTTGAGGAAGCAGGTGTTCCCCAGGTTGCGCAGGCCGGCACCCTTGCAGACGTCGCTCTCCCACCTGAGGTTCAGCCGCTCCGGCGCAAACAGCGAGAGCCGTGCCGCTGGAATGCCGTCGTCCTCCTCTGCACAAAGGGCACGGTGGTGGCGGAAGCCGGTGTCATCGCAGGGCGCTGCACTGCCGATGGGGCTGGCGTGGATATTCAGTAGCCCCAGCCAGCACCCGTACTGCTACTCTTAACCACGAAGATTTTACTCCACATTTAAGTGTCAGGTTCAAGTTCGCGAAAAATATGATTTGCCTGTCGCGTTGGCTGCTGGGTGTTTTGAGCTCCCCGTGTTACTCGTGAACGGCAACAGCAGTGGCTCCAAAGCGGCCCTTGCGTTGGTGGCTGCCACCCTAATGAGATGCCACGACGTCGCGTGATTGCACACTCACCTTGGGGTGCAGGCACAGACACGCTGATGTTCTCTGTGGCTGGTACAGGGGAGGGCTCCGGCCGGCCATGGGGAAGGCAGCAGGGTTGCGTGCAGAGCCACTCGTCGGCCGCCGCCAGCACCTCGTTGGACGAGGTGGGGGCCAAGACCGTGAGGTCGTTGCCGGACGAGGTGCCCTCTGCTCCGCACGCCACAGTCGTGGTTGGGTCCTGCCACACAACGTAGTCAAAACATCCACAATTATTCCTCCCATCTGGACTGGGATCCCAACACACGTGGGACTGTTCTATCACCAAAAGAAATACAATTTTAGTCCATGAACCTATGGGAGATCTGCATGAATTGTCTCAGAAGCAAATATATATTTACAGTATACACCTGTATTTTTAAAGTAACCCCAAACTCACTTTAACTCGTAAAATATTATATGAAGAACGGCCATTGACTAAAGATGAACTAATTCAATTTGTTGTTATGCATGCGAGAGAGAAGGCAGCTGTAGTTTAAAAGAGGTCATAAATGCATTTCAGAAGATAAATCGAGCATTCATGTTAATCAAATTCATTTTTAACATTTGTTAAAATTAAACTAAATAATCCTCCGTGATTTGTTCAAATAAATACACTAATCCTGATTTTTCGGCCACCCTCTTACAAACGACGTCATGAAGGGCCAACTGTGATGTGCTCTGAAAAAGGGGCATTAACTGAAACGTCGCTTTTATATATTTAAGAATACTTTATATATGTAAAACACGTTTATACGGGAGGAATCCGATGAGCTATAAAGCTCTTTTTCACAGATGTCCAGTCGGGGCGGGTAAGAATGTTACAACAATGAACAACACAAACATCATAGGAGTGCAAAATACAGATTGGCCCAAAAGTTAAGACACAGGGTTACTTGATTTATCTTAACACTGACATTACACCGTTCTCATTATTTATTCGTAAAGTTAACAATTTAACTATCATTAATATTGATAACATCATCTGTGACTGGTTCAAATAAATACGGTAACTTTGTGTCCTGACTTTTGGGGCAACCTTCTATAGGCGACGTTATGTAAATGAAAACAAATATTTGTGATGTGCTCTGCAGAAGGGCCATTGTCTGAAACGTCGCCTATCATTTTCCTGTAACAATTCCCCCACCCCCGTGCACTCTCAGCGTTGTGATTGGCTGAGCGGCGCCAGCGGGCCCCGCCCCGCCCGCCACCCGGGGCCCCGCCCCCTCACCTGAGGCTCCGCCCCCAGACGCGGCCCCGCCGCCGCCTGCGCGGCTCCCGTCAGCTCCGGCACGGCGACCCGCGCCGCGCCTCGGGCTTCATCCGGGGAGGGGGTCCCGGGCACAGCCCCGCGGGATCCCTCGCGGGGGTCGCCAACTGCAAGAAGAAGCAGAAGCACAGCGATCACATTTTACACTGCGGACAAACACACGGCTCTACATTTCCCACTGGAGACAGACATGGGCCTGTCGATCGCTTCTGAAGAACTAAATAGCTCAGTGGGCTTCACCTGGTTTAATAAAAAAAAAATAACCCGTAAAAACAAAGTTTTTCACTATAAATCCTTTATATGCGTGGCATCGGTTTCATTTTATTATTCATTTCTGTTTTTATTGAGTAAGAGTTTCATTTTTATCACATTGGTATTTTAAATAACATATGAATTTTTATTTTTCCTAAAAAATTAAACATTTTTTTATGAAAATAAATTGTCACACACAGCGAGTCTGTGTGCAAAATGCCAGCTCGATTGGATCACGGGAAGTGGGTTAAAAAGACGACCGAAAGATTTGCACGGTCGTAAGCGCGCAAGCAAGCAAGCGCGCAAGTGAACTTAATATAAAGGATTTAAAAAGAGTGGAGCTCATTTCGTTTTCGGGATTAACTTACTTTTCTCATACTTTTCACTTGTTGTTATTGGTGTAATTTCTTGAAATCGTTTAAAAGAGCTTTATAGCTCATCGGATTTATCCACGATTAATAAAGTTCATGATTTTGAATTGGTGAGTGACGGTTGGTATCTTACGGGTGGTCCATTGCCCCCCCCCCCATTGCCCCCCCCCGTGTGACGGTTGGTCGCTCACGGGGGTCTATTGCCCCCCCCCATTGCCCCTTCCCCGTGTGACGGTTGGTCGCTCAGGGGGTCCTTTGCCCCCCCCCCCCATTGCCCCCCCCCCGTGTGACGGTTGGTCGCTCAGGGGGTCCTTTGCCCCCCCCCCCATTGCCCCCCCCCCGTGTGACGGTTGGTCGCTCACGGGGGTCCTTTGCCCCCCCCCCCCATTGCCCCCCCCCCGTGTGACGGTTGGTCGCTCACGGGGGTCCTTTGCCCCCCCCCCCCATTGCCCCCCCCCCGTGTGACGGTTGGTCGCTCACGGGGGTCCTTTGCCCCCCCCCCATTGCCCCCCCCCCGTGTGACGGTTGGTCGCTCAGGGGGTCCTTTGCCCCCCCCCCCATTGCCCCTTCCCCGTGAGTGACGGTTGTCAACGCGACCGCTTCACCCCGACACGAATCACGGCCTACAACGACCACTTGGCCCAACCCCAAACCCCCACACGCAGAGCTCGGCGTTTCGAGCCTTTCGAGTGACTATTTATCGCGAGATTGGTTATTTAAAGCGACCAACACGCAATTAAACCATACGGGTGGTGCTGCTGC